AGCTTAGCATTTCACTCAATTAATGTTATTTCTTCTCTGTCCATATGTAATTTTCTCAAGCAATTACTACATTCTTTCTTTTCTGTTTTATTTCAGACTCTAATAATTTGTACAGATATCATCTCTTTTTAACTGGTTGACTTATTGAGATACAAATGTATTCCCACATTTATTTCAAACTTGGATCCAAGCATAGGTTATTAAAATTATTTTGGGTCACTTCATATATCAATAGGCACATTTCTCATGATATGTTTTCTTTTAACCGGCTGGATGTAGTTGATGAATCGATTTTATTTGTTGTTTTCATTTAAGCCAACCTAACTTTGTCGCTTTTTAGGTTCTAAGCTTGACGGTCGCCGATGCCATCTCTGGCTTAGGCGGCGAGTATGACTTGCTTGCTGCATCTCATCGTGGTGTCAGGTAAGTCTGCATATGTATTACGAGCTGATCGAATATCTCCTTGTTAATTTAAACATCTGTTCATTAGAGCTTTTGGCTCTTAGCTGTTAATATAAGTTTCAGAATTCTATTTGATATACTAACTACTATGATTAATTCATCTCTATCAATAGTGAGGGCAAAATGGCGTGGCTTTTGGTTTGACCACAATCAGTTTTTGCTTTATAAAGTTTGACCTTGTTTTACTTAGGATAGTCCTCTTCTCAGGGATACCTTGAAGAAAATTTCCCTGGAAGCGTAATCAGTATCGCCAGTATGCAGCATCACTCTTAGCGCTCAGCGAAAACTTACTATTAACAAAATTGATTCACCCTTCACTTCATATAAAGTGTTGATTTGGACAAAAATCTACTTTTTCAGGAAGACCTAGAGGAATGCATCTTGTCCGAAGTCCATAGTATGCATGAAGTTTCGTCGGCATCGTCAGTGAGCCTTGCCATTCTTAACATCACACTACAACCCGTCAGAGACAAGTGAAGTCAATTCTTTGGCCAATTGTCTGCTAAAAAGTTGTAATATCTCTCCTGACTTCCGGAACGAGGAGTTGGAGTAACTGACTCGTATTTACTCTATTAATGCGTAGCCCAGAGAATTTATAGAAAGAAATATAGGGGTTATAAAGAGCAGATTTCAGCTGGGATTTTAGGAAAAAATTAGTAATTGGGAGGACGACCAAATTGGATATACCTGCCCTCAATGTAATAAAAAAAGAAAAGACAACACTTTGCCAGCCTGCCGACGCAACATGAGAAGGTTGATAAACTGGATTTGTTGGGGGTATAAAGCATCAAATGCGGCAACTGGGAGCATAAGTATATTGTTGAAACAGGAAGAAAAATCAGCCTTCAGATTAAGGAACATCAAAGACTATACATAAACATAGATACTGGAAGATCCGAAATAGCGAAGCACATCGCACGAACGGGACACGAAATCGAATGGTAGAAATACAAAAACACAAAATATACGATAGACCATCGATATCCTGACTAAAAGAAATCCAATGGGCAGGAGACTTGAAGAATGCAGGATTAGCGGAAACTTTGCATATTGCCTAAGCAAACTCAGAATATATCAGGAACAGCAATATCATCATAATGAAGGCGACCCGAAAAAGCTAATATTTTTACTTTTAGGAAAACAAATTTCAAGGAGGCCAGAGAGCAACAATTGGAAACTAACACGAGACGTCTACAGTCAGTCTATTCAAAGCAAGTAGAACTTTCACATTTCGGGGTCGATACGCAAGAGGCTTGGCGTTAAGGCTAGAAGAGCGAGAGGGACAGTGGTGACCATTGACAATCAGATATTAATGCAGTGGTTCCCAAACTTTTCCTAATCGCGGCGCCCTTTTTCAATTAAAATTTTTCCATGGCGCTCTACCTTAAGTATGACTATTCGTAAGTAAGAGATAAAAAAAATAAAACTCGTGTATCTTCATTATTTTTTTACTTTATTAACATTAAATTAATATTTAATAATAAATGTGATGAATGAGCCTGCAAATCACTGCACATTTTCTCAAATTGAAGCTTTTACAATATTTCGCGGCTCCCCAGGGCGCCGCGGCGCACAGTTTGGCAATCACTGTATTAATGTATAAGTATGCTCACAAATTTGGTCCTTGAAGTTAAGGATTTTCCACAGATTTTCTTGGTTCACATGCCGCACAGTGATAAGGGAATCTGCATGCCATGCCAATTGAGAATCCAGACTTTAGGGGATTGCTCAGTGACGCTGGTGTATACATACCATCATAGGCTTGCGGCAGAGTGTAGAACATAACGCCCTGTGTAGCATGGATCGGTGTCAGCGATTGAGTGAAATTGCTGAAACAGACAGATAAAGGAAGGATCCTAGGGAGAAAGAGGGAGACTTAGATAGGACACGAAGGATGAGGAATGCGGATTAAACCTCGGCCTTGGATCATCACTCTCGACACAGTGGGGGGGATGCGGAAGCCAACGGGGACCACGTCCATGGTCCGACTGGAAATTATTATGCATACTTTGGACTCCGGACAATGTGTGTTCCTCTACGTCTTCCTGCCAATATGACCAAATTGCGAAAACAAGTTCACACAACATCTATTACTTTCTTCAATTTATGCCACTAACTTTTTTGCGTAAAATTTTTTTCACATCCTTCTTTGCTTATTATTTACAATACAGACTGGACACTTTATCTGGCGATTTGAATGTGCAACCGTCCGCCAGTGAAGAGAACCTTTCTGCCGGCTTCTGCCCTCCACCGATCTCACACGGGCCTGTTGCTTCAAGCCTTAACTCAAGAAAGCAGTATTCTGCATGGCGCCCTTATTCTGATCTCAGATCGACATTTGCTTTTACCATCTGTTCACAGCCTATGCCGCTACTCTTCGATACCCTCGACATTGAGGTTCCAGGCTAGTCTTTTTTCCATTACTTTATGTTTATACCTTTACAATGGATACTATGAGGGCTCTGCACAAATTCTGATATTCAACTGTTTTCTTTTCCGACAAATCTTTTGAAAATTATCTATATCCTCATCATTAGTAGCGTGAAAATCTTGATATTCCGTGCTTTAAAATGTCCTCTTTGTTAATATTTCTTTAATGGGAATATACTAAGTTAATTTATTACTTTAAATATTTTTATTTCGGTGATGACTGTTGATATAATGAGTAATTTCTTCACCTTCCTATCACAACTTCTGACTTGTCTACATTCTATTTGTCAAAATGTGTGCCCTTTTGGGGCAAACCTATTGTGGCCTCATTGGACCTGCTACTTACCCCGACCCCCTCTCTTTCGATCGGCTAATCCGACTCGAGCCTCCGATCCGGATTTCCCTCATGATCACATAGATCCGTTCATTATCTTTCCGGTTAACCCATTTCACTGGGTTTCAGTCCCAGTGTGCGTTTCACTCCAGACGCTATTTCTCAAGGCCCTAAAAGCACGTACACTGCCACCTCTCCGAGCAGAGCCCCTAGGTTCTGATTGCCATGCTTGCGTATCCTAGCCTTTGGATATGAAAGCACAAGGCGTATGCCAACTCTTTGGCACGAGCAAAAACTCTTCGAAAATATATAGCTCAAGATGGTGTGGCCCTTGGTATGGTCGGGATCCACTTTCGATGTTTAATATTGGGTTAAGATCGTTTTCGCAATATGATCTTGTCAGGGCGACTTAATTGGACGCATCTTCTCCGAAGTCCTCTGCCATAGTAGTCATTATAATTTCCATCGAATGTACCAAGTCCACGGTCTGATGCTGGGAATTTGATAATTACTTGTGCGGAGAACTTCGGACAGGGTGCGCTGGACTAAGTCGTCCAGACAACGAGATTAAGATGCGAAAACGAGTTCGCCTCAATTCTAGAAACTCTTTTCATTTTTTCTTGTAGAGCAGGTTTTTTATTGAGTTTCCGTTAAATTTTTTTCGAATAGCCTATGCTATCACAATTCGAAATGAAGCACTTAGGAAGACAGAAGGATATAACTGTGTCTAGGAACTGGAATTGTCTAACGGCTTTTGTTTTTTCCGGCTTGGCAGCACTCTTTGCATATCACTTTTAGTCGTGATTATTAAATGCTGGGCTATTTAACAAGTAGGAGTGATATCGCCCTAGTAAACTCGCCAAAAAGGGTATATCTCTTAAGGAATTGAATATAAACAAGTCAGAAGATGTGATAGGGAGTTAATGGAAATGGATAGCTGAATTAGGACAGAAAGTGGAGTGATAGCACAACCGTTCGGCAGAAAGTTCGTAAAGGGATTGATTTCATTTTTCTCTTTGACGAGTTGTAGCTTCGTGTTAAGAATAGCAAGGCTCACTGATAATGCCGACTATGTTGACTGCGAAAACGTTTGGGAATGTTTTAAATCCACGGTCCAAAGGTAGGAATTTTCATTAGTACTTTAGCCGAGATCTTCGGACAGGGTGCATCCAACAAGGTCTACCGAAAAAGCACGATCAAGTTGTGTAAACGCTATTAGATCATTTTCTCATGTTCATTTTTCTTACTTAAACGTCAACTCACAATTACTATTAAACTCTTGTCATTTTGAACACAAATTAGTATGTTTCTTTAGGCTTTAATTTTATGCAGACATTCACCATAATTATAGTAGTTCTCATACGTGAAGTATATTTTAATTTACAAGGTTCCTTATCTTTCTGGTTGACCGATTTCACTCGGGTCAAGTCCCTGTCTGCATTTTACTCCAGGCGCTATTTCTCAAGGCCCTAGAAGCACATACACTGCCGCTTCACTGAACGGAGCGCTTAAGCTCTCATTCCCATTCCTGCAGATATCAGGCCTTCCCTACACGAATCATCTCCTTGATTAAACCCATGTTATCTGAGAAAACTGTGTATGCCTATCTCTGGTCGCATGCGGCATCTCAAGTTGGTTTTTAGTGCATTTGGGCAAGAACCCCTAATTTCTATGACGGTTTGTTTATCCGTCTGCCCAGGCCCCCAAAGTTGTACTAGTTTATTTAAAATGGCCATCACGCACTGACAACGTCTTTACTTAATTGCCGAAAACCCCTCCCCCTTACTTTTTTCATCGCAATCCCTTTTCGTCCGGTTAGCGAAAGATCCTTAGTCCAGACGTCTCCTTTTTGCTCATCTTGCTCCTGTTCATTAGATTTGTCTCCAAAGCATGTCAATGGCCTCCGTAATCTTCCGCCTTCTTGTGTTATCACCGTATGGAGCTTTCCTTTCTCTTGCCTTCCAATTGATCTCGTGTCCAGTCTGTGCGATGTGGTCCGCTCGTTCTGTTTCTTTTAGTATCCATTTTCCTGCAGAGCCTCTTATGTTATTTGATTCGTGTGCTACTTTTCCTCCCTGTTTCGCCAATATATTTCTGTCCGCAGCTTCCGCATGATATACAGTAAACTCCAGAACAGTTCTTCGCACAATTCAACAGAAAAAAGTCTTAGCAAGTATGGTTGAAATAATGAGATGTAAGTTTGTAAGCATGTAAGTCAAACTACGAAACCACTTGTCCTAACTTCTCAGTCTATGATCATTAGGATTTAACAAAACAATGAAAGACATGACTGGGGCTGCGTAATTTCGTATGTGTCGTTTGATTGATGAGCTTAATCCAACATGTTGGACGAGTTCGAATTAAGATAGAACCATCATCTAGCAGACAAGTTAAGTCGTCTTTTTTTAGATGGAGGCTCAATCTACTTCTCTTTCAATATATCAATCAAACAAAAATAGTTCTTACTCACCTTTTACCACCCCTCATCACATTCAACGTATTTTTTGATCTATTAATTTCAAGAGCCTCTCTTATTTTTTTTCAGCCATCGGCTTTTCATGGCTCGTATGTTTCTTTGCATTACTTCGCACACTGAAACTAGAGCCGAGTAAATCGGTCAACCAGAAAGATAAGGGACGCTCTACGGGACCATGAGGGCCATCCAGATTGAAGACCCTAGTCAGATCGAAAGAGAGGGAGTCGGGGTGAATAGCAAGTGTGATGAGGCCACACTAGATTTGCCACAAAAGGGCACATTTTGACCAGTGGAATGTACGCAAGTGAGAAGTTGTGATAGGGCAGGACTTTGATAAGAGCGTAAAGAGTAGATAGATGGGCCATAATATAAATAGTAATGATAGTGTAACCGTTTTCAGCAGAATGTTTGTCGAGGGATTGACTTTTCTTGCCTCTTTGACCAGTTCGTAGCTTGGTGCTGAGAATAGCAAGACTGACTGATGATGCCGACTGCGATGCCAGCGAAACGTCTGGGAATGTACAAAGTCCACGGTCTGATGCTTAGAATTATGATATCTACTATGTCAGCATACTTCGGACAATGTGCGTTTTAATGAGTCGCCCTGACAACAATACCAGGTTGCGACAAGATCAACGCACTTCGATAAATCTAAAGGAAACTGCGACCATATCGGTTGCCACATTATCTTGGTCTTCATATCTTCGATTAAAATGCTTATTGTTTACCAGGTCATGGATATATTAAATGTGACCAACTGACTCAATTCAATTGTATTTTACTTTTTCGGATTTAGGTTATATTTTCCACTAGTAATTTTAACCTTTACAAAAGTAATTTGATATTTTTTCTATAGAAGTAGAGTTTCAAAACTACCAGTAAATCAGTTCTTTGAGATGTATCCACCCTATTTCGTTTAAGGTGATCAAGGACTGGTATTTTACTGTTTTCACAATGAAATGAGTACAGCTGATGTTTCCATTAAATTTAACGGAGCCTTGATTTGCTAAATGTTGTTTTCATCGAGATGAATAACTTTTTGGAAAGCAAGGCTGTGAAATACAATCTTACCGATGTGGGAAAATTCTTCTACCAGTCCCTCATCGCCTTATACAAAATAGGGTGAATACATCTCATATAATTGAATATATTTTCATTTACTTTCTTTACAATTTATAATGTCTTTTCAAAAATTTTATATCACATGGAAACTGCCAGATGATGAAGTGTCTACCTCATCTCGTGATGGAACCCTTGATCTTACAACCAGTCATCGATCTCAAGCCCTGATTACGGTCAACTTTTCGTATTTACCTGCCTCGGAGCAACCCTGTATTTCCCCTATTTGTCAATCAGCTACAGACTATTTGGCCGCTTCCAATCAGCACAAATACAAGAGTCTATTTCTCTCCTATAGACGACGGTTGGATGTGAAGCTTCGTTGCCTCGACTTAATAGGTAAGCCAGTTGACCAAATTTACGCTATAATTTTCAAATTTTGGCACTAACAAAATTTCGCAACTTCTCTTGCTCTTTCCTGATTTAATTATACTTTGCCTAAACAGATTTATTTGATGAATAAATCATCAAGACTCTTTAAAATCTGTTTGTTTCCTAGCCCAAATTATTCAAATATAATATACGATTTGTTCACCTCACAACAATTAAGGTAAAAATAGAACTG